GGGTGGATGGGACACGCGAGCGGGAATTTGGAATATGGAACCTGGGCTTACCTCTTGCTCCGTTGGTACCATTCTCTGTAGCAGCTCCACATTCTCCAGCGAAAGAATTTTAAGATCGAGCGCGTTTACCGCGGTGATAACTTTCTCCACGGGCATTTCCATTTTTCTCCGCGAAATCGCTGCAATATCAATAATTGCAATTCATTATTACAATGCAAAATTGCAAAGGAGACGCTTGTGGCCTTAAGAGTGGCGCTTTACGTCCGTCACAACCCTATCCATGACTTACCAATATTTCGTAATCTCGTATGCTCCAGAAGCGAGACGTTTTCCGGCTTCTTGAATCTTTTGCTGGGAAAGCTTTGGAGGCCGTCGATTTCGTTGGTACCGTTGGCGAGGTGAGTGCCTATACCGATTTTAAATCTCTCTTCAAAGTCCGTAAAATCGATGTAGCTGTGCAATCTATCGTCGTCCAATTCATTGAAGATGGTACCGCGCACTTGATTGGGCTTCAAGGCGATCCAATTCAATGTCGGGAGCTTGTATTTCGTTTGGACCTGTGCGCACGCAGAAGCATTAATTCATCGTCATCGTCATCGTCATCGTCGTTCTCTTCTTATTATCATTATCATCATTATCATCATCATTATCATCATCATTATCATCATCATTATCATTATCATTATCATTATTATTATTATTATTATTATTATTATTATTATTATTATTATTATTATTATTATTATTATTGCCGTTATAATCGTCGTTAATCGTCGATCCGTGACGATGGGACCCGGGGAGAAGAGAGACGAAAAAGACTGAAAATCAAGAGAGAAAGGTGAACGATCGGCAGAAGTTAAGTTTCCTTTGGACGTTACGATAAAATGTTTTGGGTAAAGCGGCCAATGATTATCCTCTCGCTGTCCGATTACAAGGCGAGCCGTTGGTGATCGCTTATCTTCCTTTAGCCCCGTAATCGCGAGTTTTTGCCCGAGACGTAATAATCATGGGGAAATCGACAAAGTCCTCGCACCTTTCGCTTAATCGTCATTGCCCCATCGGGCGCTTGCATCATGCCGGCCGGCGGCGGTGGAATCGGTGCGGGTGGCGGTGGCTTGTAATCACCGGACGCCAGTGGGTCCATGGGCATCGGGGGCGGGCAGGGTGGTGGTGGCGGGGGCGGTGGTGCCGGCATCGGGGCTGGGACCTCTGGCAGGGGCGAGCCGGAGTTGACCATCGATTGTGTCGGGCCGTCGCTCACCGGTGACGTCGACGCCGATCCATTGCGCATGTTGGCAACTGCAAGGCAAGCACAGTTTTTCACAGTTTTTCACAGTTTTTCACAGTTTTTCACGGTCTTTCCACTATCGACCGATCGGCGGCAGCTACTTGGCGCTACCCCCCATCAGGGCTCTTAAATCAAATTTCGTTGGATAAATTAAATGGGATAAGAGAGAAAAAAAATGTAAATGTATGGTCCGCCAGTCCGCGATCGGTTCAACGAGGGATTATTAGCTCTCGGGTCTCTCGTCCCTCGCTCGCCCCAATCGTCTAGCCAATCCGACATATTTGCTTGCCATTCGAAAAGAGTAGGAAATTTTTTTTTTTTTCTTTTTTTTTTCAAGCAATTTGACAACAAGGATAATTTAGGCCATCACAGGGGCACTCGTGCTTTATCACTTATGCGCCTGGTAAAGCAAATGGGATTTATCACCTGATGCTCCTTTCGTTAGTGTACCCGTCAGAGTTTCCAGCTCCATTATTTTATTTTCTAAGACGCTCTGCCTCCTCGCGGAGTCTTGCTTCTGTCTTTTCAGGGCGGCGAGCTCCTCCTCGACTAGTCTACGAGTTTCGAGTGCGTCCGCGTACTCGACTTTCATTGCGCCGAGTTCGGTTTCGAGTTCGGCCAATTTCGCTAGGGATTCGCGCTCTAGCTCGGCCATCCGGTCGTGTGCCTAATGAAATGACAGACTCGATAAATATAGATCGAGAACGATCGAGCGAGGCCAGGATTTTGGGAGAGAGATAGCAGTAATATGCGCTTACGTGACCAAGCTCGTCCTCCAATTCGGCTACTTTTTCTAAGGCGGCGGTTTTCGTTTCGCTGTCCTCCATCAGGGCGGCTACGTCGAATACATTGTCTAAGTAAGCTGAGATTTGAACCTGTCGAACAACATTTCAGAACAAATAGTTTTTCACGCTCGAGCTCGAGCTAACGAGCGCATTATTTATTAATTAATCGTCCCGTAGATTTTATATGCAATTTACTCTCCACCGTACTCACGTATTATTATTCATGAAATGGGGATAGAATAAAAAAAAAAAAAAAAAAAAAAAAAAAAAAAAAAATGGAATTAACAAACAAAAAGAAAAAGAAAAGAAAGTGCAGTTATTCTTGAATTATTTGCTTTGAAATTCCTGGTCGAAATTGAGGTTCGCCTAAAAACTTAAACGGTGCGATGAAGAATGTTCAGGTGAGTATTGCCGGCGAGCCGTAATTTGAAAAAAGCCGCCGCACGTAACAGTCGTCGGCAGCAAAAAAAAACACGTGTATTGCATTAAAGGGGAGGGAGAGATAAAGAGAGAGAGAGAGAGAGAGAGAGAGAGAGAGAGAGAGAGAGTGTGCGTGCGTGTGCGTGTGTGAGTGAAAGAGAAAGATGAAATAGAATATATAAATATTAAATAAGTTTAAGTGTATTAATAAGAAAGGGAGGAAGCGCGGATTTATGATGGATAAATGAGGGATTCGAGGGCTGGGGAGGCTTGGTGCGAGCGAGAGATGATCGATGAATAAGATCGGTGAGCGTACCTGCAAATCCTCGCTCTCAGTGTGCCTGAGCTTCTCCAAGTACTCGTCAAGGCCGAGCTTCGTAAATTCGTACTGCAAGTGGACCCTGAAGTTCATGTCGTCGACCGAGTGAACGACGATGTTGACGAACTGCATACAAGCCACCATGAACTCGATGTGGAAGCTGTCGTATTGGGTAAAGTACTCCATGAGGGTCGTAAATCTCCGCCTCTCCGAGCAGACCTCCTTGAAGTTGTCGAACGCCGAGAGTATGATCTCGTGGCCTCCTTTCACGAGGCAGATGGCCGCCAGCAATTCCAGCACGAGGGCTTTCGTCCTACGGCGATCGCCGAGGGAATGCAAGGGGCTTTTGTCAGAAGGATTGTCGAAAATTTTGGTTCTTACGAGAGAGGCCCATTGGCTTACCTCAGGCTCTTGTGCATCAGGCTCAGGGCGATGCAATTGATGGCCTCCCGGTGCTGAATCACCATGTTGAATCCATACTGCAAGTTTCGCCGGTTCAATTAATTATTATTATTAGCGTTCGTTAATTTATGGACAAGTCGTTCGTTACGGCACTTTTCACGGCAAGACGCGACATTTCTTTAATTATCTTTCTTTTTTTTTTTTTTTTTTTTTTTTTTTTTTTTTTTTTTGCCAATAGACCCGGTGAACTCGCCTCGTCGTCAATTCTCGCGATCTCCGCGATTCCCGCGAGAACTCTACGAGCGCTCGAGCGATAAGCATTGGCTCGCTCACGTGGCCGAGGCAAATTTACGACAAAGTCTCGTTTACGATATTCGCGCGGGAATAAGTTTTGCTGACGATTCCGAATCGAGCTCTCGTTCGCTAATGGCGAGGATTCATAAACTATTCTAATTAGCGACAAAAAGATTTTTAGATTCTCTCTCTCTCTCTCTCTCTCTCTCTCTCTCTCTCTC